TAGCCCAGGGGTTTTCAAAGTGGGTGCCGCGGCACCTAGGGGTACCCCGAGGTCACTACAGGGGTGCAGGGGTCACTACAGGGGTGCCGCAGGATTTTTTCATAGTTTGATGAGAGTTTTACATTGAATGTACATTTTTACATTTTAAAAATTTTGTAAATTTATTTTGATGTAAGCAAATATATTCTAAGACGAGGAGCTTAATTTTATGTTTTCTTTACTACTTTGAAAAAGTGACAGAAAAATAATTATTATCAAATAATGTCAAATAATCATTATCAGTTTAGGGGTACCACGGCTGGGTGGAAAAATGTGTAGGGGTACCTTGAGCCAAAAATGTTTGGGAACCACTGGTTTAGCCAATGGGAGGCAGATCTTTTAGGAGTCCGCTCCTGTGGAAGAAACTACCAGTTGTAGTCTGTGAGGCCCTGTCTACTTTAAGGGTAGGCTTAAAACCTTCCTTTTTGATAAAGCTTATAGTTGGAGTGGCTCAGGTTATCCTGAGCTATGATGCTATAGGCTTAGACTGCTGGAGGACTAAGGGACCCCGTTTCATCATTTGGTTTCATTCCAACCCTATTCTCCCATTCTGCAGTAATTGTTAGTTCAGGCTTTAGCGTTATGCTCTCTACTTTCTCTCATTATAGTAGCTTAATCTGGTCTGTTCCTGTTTGGCTGTGACTCCATCCTGGAGAGAAATATCAGCTGTGCTGCTACCATCAACATCTTTGTTTATAGATGTTGGAGCTTGGACTGTTAGTCAGTGTAGTCCTACTTCTCTGACTGTGACTGACTGTATGGGTTTTCTTTCATCCTCCAGCATGAGAGCTGGCTCAGAGCCCGTCTGCCTGGCTGTGTGTTTCCGGAACGGGTTCATCCATGGATCTGGTTGAGAGTTACATTTTGCATCTGTGTGTGTTTAAGTCTCCCTGAACCCCAGTTGGCCTCGGCAGATGGCCGCTCACACTGAGCCTGGTTCTGCTGGAGGTTTCTTCCTGTTAAAAGGGTGTTTTCCTCTCCACTGTCGCGACATGCATGCTTGGTATGAGGGATTGCTGTTGAGTGAATGAGTCGATGCAATCAGCTACTTTTATTCCCTCCAGGCCCCCCTTTCAAACTAGGGAAGAGTGATTGAGTAGCTATTTTCTTGTGCCAATTCCTGATTATGGTCTATCGTCTTTCCAGTTCTGAAGGGTGACTAAGATAAAGGGGCTGTTTTGCATTATATTTATACCCTCAGGAAAGAAGTTTCCTTCATAGCAAGCCCACCTGGAAGCTTATCATGGTAACAATGCACTTATTACAAGCTTGTTTGCATCAATCAGTGCAGCAGCATAAAGCTAATGCAGTGGGACAGAATGGGTTTTTGTCCACTTTAAACATGCCGAGCTGGAACCAAACATAAATGTTTCAAAGTTGACTGAGATTGAGAGTGTTGCTCTTTGCATACCATATGTTGTTTATGTTGTAAGAGTCAGGGAGTATATGGGCTTACAATGCTTTGATTTAGTCTGGAGCCTACTTTGAAAGAAAAAAAATTATATTCTTAAACATCAATCTTTTGTTGAAAAAACATTGTATTTATTTTTTTTTTGTTAAAACGAGCCCCCTCTTACTTTCCTTCGCTTCGGTCTGTGGTTCGTTTATTCTCTAGCTTCATGCACGAAAAGCTCCCAAAATACAGTAGGTTATTTCTGTTTTAAAAATACTTTTTGATATACGAGAGGCCCGGGAGGATGGAGACTGTGGCGATTCAAATCTGGAGAGTGTTTCAATATATGAGGCAGTGCAGCAGGAAAGCTTTAAAAAAAAAAAAAAAAAAAAGCTACTTCTTGCAATTGGGCTTGACATGTGTTCACTGACACATTCAAACGGCAGGTTCCTCAGTCATGCAAGCAGCCTGGCAGTATATAATAGTGCACTGTGCTCTGACCCCTGCAGCAGACCCCCGGTTTGTTATTCCTGTATGTGATACTGTACTCTGAAGCAGGCTCAGACAGCCAGCGACGTTCCTGAAAGAAAGCACAAGGAGTCGATGGGCGCCTGTTCTGTAATGAAACAGAGGGCTGTTTATCCAAGCTGTTAAATAAGGCTTCAAGTACAACACCACCCCCTCCACCCCCACAAGGCTGAAATCTCTCTCATCTGGAGCGCACAGTTTCCATTTTAAACTTTACGTCCCAAACTACACATTACATCAAATTGTACTTAATGGTATCCAGACAAACTTTAATGTCGTTCCAACATTTTCTCTGCAACAGACCCCCCCTCCCCTCTCCTTTCTCCCCACTGTATAGCAAAGCAAGCTCTCCTTTCTCTGCTCCACATCTGGTCTCCATTCCAGGTGAAGAAAGGGAAAAGCTGAGAACACTGGGAGAGAGGGAGGTGAAAAAAAAACAGACTTGGAAGTGCAAAAAAAAAAAGTTATAATAACTGGGCTAATATTTGATTTTAGATGGAGGTTATGCAATATTTTCACAAATATGAGAGAGGACGGTTTATAAGAGGCCTGGTCTGTGGAGTTTTATTGTGCTCTTCCAGATGGTGAAGAGGAAATGATCAGCGTATGATGCTGTTTCCTGCTCAATCTGAACAACAGACCAAGTGGCTGCTGAGATGAGGTAAAGCTCAGTATTGTGCTTCTTCCAGAGGATAAACAAAAGAAACTTCCACTCCAGACCCATCTGACTGTTGTTAACCTGATAACACAGGGACATCTAGTGGTATTATATGCAGCACAGCTGTCCAGATCCTCTCAGCTCTTTAGTCAGAATCACCACTTCATCAAATACACCTTATTACCAAGTCAGACGTTCTTTTGCTTTCAGAACTGGTTTAATTTTCCTTAGCACAAAATCAACAAGGACATCTTAGATCATATCTGTACGATACCAACACACAGTTGCTGCACATGAGGTGGATATCTCCAATTCCTTAATATGACAAAGATCCAATGATAGAATGAGATTTAGTGATTGTTGGCACAACAAACAACTTGCAATATCCAACTAGAAGCAACCCCCTAGAAGGTGAGTACATCACGGTCAAAAAGGGAGGAATATGGGGTTTTACCAACTAAATTTTATGAAACTTTTGTGAATTTTAGACTCACTTTCCCTTTTTTCTTCAAGTTTTCCAGTGAACTGGAGTGACACCCAGTTTTTTTTCTGTTGCTGTAATCAATTTGTGTCAGAGAAACGTAATGGATTCAGACATTCTGATTGTATGAAATGTCTTGGTTGTAAAAATTGTTCCCTCTGCCTCTTTTCACCTTTTTACTATATAGACTCAGACAATAACAAGGGGACATAAAAATACTAAACATTTAGCCACCAACATGCCACTGCAGTCTCTTATATAATAATTTCCCCAATACCATATTTTCATGCTAAGCCAAAAATCATTTTTATAACATCTAGACCCCTTAATGCATGGAGCCAATTCCAGGTTTGATTTTGCCTGGTGAGTAAAGCTGAATTTATAGATTTTCAAACTGAATTTCTTTTGAGTTCAAATGTTATGGTTTATTTGCTGTATGGTGTTAACTCGTAGTTTACAGTGTCGTCTTTGTTGCAGCTTCTCCATTTGGGTCCCTATTGCTGACTATCAGCTACTATCCTCACTTCTTATAGGAGTTTTGAGTTTAAAATTGATCAATTGGTTTTATAAAAGGTTGACCAGAAGCCCCATTATCGCTATTGATTAATAAAACTGTGCTACATTGTAAGCAAAGTGTACGAAATATCACCAGCTACTTACCTGACTCCAGCAACCACATGGATTGGGTCACAATGTTTGAACAAAACACAGGACACGTGGAAGCCCTTACCTTTCTCTCTAGAATTTTCAAAGTTTTCCAAAGATCCCAAGAAAAAAACACTTTTGCAAAACACAACAAAGAAGAAAAATATGTCTAAATGTGATTAGGTGCGGATATCCACTCCCTCTTGCTCCTGTACAGGTATAAAATAAGGTCTGCATTGCATTCCCCGTGAGAGGAAGATAAAAGTTCTTCCTGGACAATCTTGGACCCTGTGAAGATTTTTTAATGCTACTAAGCCTCTAAACTGGAAGTTCATGGTATAATGGGAAAATTTCTTAAAATTAAACAGAAGATCACACACTTTCCCGTAAAGATAAGATGTAAAACATTTAAATTGCAAAAGCCGTTCTTTCACAGAGGTCAGAGTCAGATAGGCCAACTGGACAGTTTCTATTTAACAATAAATATATAATTCTCTAATAATTTTTGTAATAATGGAAATAATACAGTAAAAGTAAAAATTAATTGCAGAGCTAAATTAAGCCTTAAAAATACACACATAAAAATGCCAGAAAAGTTAGCAAAATTCAACATTTCTTGAAATTTTTTGTAGGATTTTAGTCATTTGCTGCAATGGCCTTGCTCTGCACACATTTCCCCTCAGTCTGCACATGGATAAAAATATGCATTCAAAACTGTAGTAACGCCGCCACCCTGTGGTCAGTCAACGAAACTGCACAACCATTTTGTGAGAGCAAGCATTGCTTTACATTAAAACCTGGGAGCATGGAAAAAATAGTTTGTTTGTCGTCATCTGTGTTGGATTCAGGAATAGAAGGTGAAATAAGACCAGTTCTAACTCTAACCTGCCAAAGTTCTGCACCACAAACCCAACATTAAACACACCAACAAAACCCCAGTATAACAGGAGTTCAACAGCTAACCTGCTGCTCTCAGGCACTTCTTAAATGCCTGCAGAAATATTTTGTTTTCTACATTTGATGGGTATCAGTGCAGTTTCATGTCTACATGGTGTAAAACAGAAAATAGAAATTCTTGAAGTTAGTTTGAGAATGTCTGTCTGTTTTTACATATAAAGGATAAGAAATATTTTGAGAAGTAAAACAATAAAATACCACCGCTTGAGAATGGATGCTTGTTAGTGGTTACAGTTGTGCTTTAATTGTAAGATTAAACAAAATCTAAAGTCATTATGTTTAATTGACACACGATAGATGCTGCCAGCTGTGCAGGTTGAAGAAATATGATCTGAAATGAATCCAATATTAATGAGGCAGGAGATTGTTCATTATTTAAATAAGTTTTTAAACAGTCATAACAGGAGAGGCTTCAAGTTGTGCATGTTTATTATATTCCACAAAAAAAGAGAAAATTAAAGTTCATATCTGAGTACTGCTGGAAAAGGACATGTGCTGCATCATAACTTCTCATCACTCTTAATGTCCCGTGCATACAATATGCATTTTATATGATCTATTTTGTAACAATCATCACAAAAATATGAACAATATTTATATATCGAGTGAATATCTTGTTCCTCTAAATTAACAAAAAAGCCAAACAAATCAACATTTTCTCCCCTTTACCAATTCTTATCGACTTATTTTACAAAAAATAGTACAAATTCCAAAGGCTTTATTGCCTGAATTTACCGCTCTCCAAAAGTCCAAAAACTTGGCCACCATCTTTTTCCGTCTTTCTCATGTGCAAACACAAACAATCATACACACAGAAACAAGCCACGCAGAATCCACTTCTCCACATGTGTAAGCCTGTATTCACACTCACTCACACTCATACCCACTCTCACACACAGCACCATACTGAGCAACTTCAATGCAGCATGCAGAGATGGATATGTATTGGTCCCTTTTTGTCCTCCGAAAATTCAAATGGTGATCGTCCTTCTATTTAACTTTTTCAAAAGCTTTTGTGCCTTGTTAATGTGACCTCAAATAATGACTTATAGAGACCATAAAGTATGAACCATATAGTGAAAAACAGCAAATTTCTCAGCAGACAGGAAATTAAAGCGAGAAAGTGTATATTATTAAATTGCAATACTTGATTAAAGATGAGAAATAAGTGAAATGTCTGTCCCCCAAGAATATTTTGTCAAGGTGTATCAGCGAGTCAGATGAGGTGGCGTTTCAGGCAGGCAGCAGCACACTGCATGGTGGATCCGATGAGGAGGGGCCAACTCATTGGCGGGGGGAGACGGTGGTCTGAATGGAGTTGGCTAGGCTCTGGTACCTCTCCTTGGCATGCTTCTCACAATACATCGCATCTCCACTCCAGAAGTGACCTCTCATCTTCAGGTTAAGCCCACAATCTGTGCAAGTGTAGCACTCTGGGTGGCGGAAGCAGTTGTCTGAGATGCGCACTGCCTGTGTCCTGTGGGAGAGGCGGTATGAGGAAGACACGTCAAACACTTCAAAATTCTTATATTGTCCATCTTTTCTAATTTTTTCAGATGACTATTTGACTACATGTCTTGGAAGACAATTTAAGAAGTTTACATATACTGGGCATAAACAAACACCATCTTTTTAGGATGCATTTTAAACGGAACAACTAGGTGCAACACTTTCCAATTATTGTGCATTTTCTGTAATAAGCATAGACTCCAAACCTAAACTTGTACAAACCTCAAGCTTTTTTCTTCCTTAATGAGCTCATTTCTATATAACTGGCTTTAAATCATGGTTGAGAGATGAGAGATGTGGCCCAAAAAATGTGTCACTTTTTTTTGTGGTGGCTAACAGGTTAATTCAGTGCTCTGAAATAATATGACATTTTTTGTTGTATTTTTATCTCCAGAGACTTACAAAAAAAAAGCTTAAAAAATAGCCATCATCATCCAAAAGGCTACCTCCTTATAGCAGTTATTTTTGCACACAAATCAGTATGCAAAAATAGACCTTCTTATACTAATATTTTATCTACAAACACAATAAGTTCCTTTTTCTAGCAAACAACCTACAATTCATCTGATCTTTCCATTACACTTCAGGATGTTTAATGCAAGCGTTTACAAGAATGGTTACTCGTGTTTAAGATAATTGAGCTGTTAATCAGAGGCTTTAGCCCAAAGTGTGAGTTCTGAGGGTGAAGTTTATTTAAAACTGGAAGATGCTAAAACACCCGTACCACTCTTGTTTCACAGGGAGGCAGCTTTTGAACTTTGCATAATGCTTTTTAATCTGAGAGAACAACTAAACTGCCAGTCAGAAGTGACAGAAACTGAAAATATTCAGAAACCATCAATACAAAATATCAAAAATTCGCCATGAGCTGGTAGCTGGTAATGCTAAAATGACTGAACAAGGAACCAGAAAATAGTAGAAATGAAATAGGTCCCTGATCTAAAACAAACATTTTCAAGCTTGAGTTAAATCTGTAGCTGGAAATATTTTTTTTGGAAGAAATCTTTATAATTCTGATTAAAATGATGAAATTATTAGTGGTTGAGAGTAGTCAAAGTAAAAATTTGAACCCTAACCATCAGGTTGGGTAGTGGCAGCATTATGCAGTGGCAATTTAGTTGGAAAATGTACTGATGGACTGCACAAAGTTTAAGCTTAAAGTTCTTGATGGATAAAACTTTCAGGCCAATATAAAGCTTCTTAAATAGTCTGTTAAATTATTTATGGAATATGGTTTGAAGTGGTTTGGAAATTTTACAATTTTTTATTTTTACTTCTCATTTTCAGTTGTATTTTAGATTTTTTGTTGTTGTTTTTTTTAATGGTTCGTTTAAGTTTAGTTTTTAATAGTTTGAGTGATATTTTCATTCTTTTCTCTAATACACCTTGGACAAAAAGAAAGAGAAATCTCAGCTAAGGAAAGACTGCAACAACACTAATGACCTGATTGCTGTACCTCCTCTCTGCTGATGTAATGCTGTACAGTGAAACAAAGGGAAACAGCAATAAGAAACTAGACCTCATATTAATACATTACAATGAAAACAAAAATGAAAATGAATCAAATTCTCTCTGAAATTCAGTTAGTGTTCAATAATTTTGTACACTTTTATTACAAGTGAAATTATTTAAATTTTTTTGCAAGGTCTAGTTTCTATTTTATCCTAGTTAAAAGAAATCTTTTTTAAATTCTAATTTTCATTATTTTGTGTGTTTTAGAATATGATAATAGCCATAACCAGTCTTATGTTTACATTTTATCACTGCTGCACTTTAAAAAGGGAAATATCTTGAGAGCTGTACTGAATGAAATTTCTTTTTGTATCCATTCTGTGTATAAAATGACAATAAAGTCTAAGTCTAAGTCTAGCCTTAGTTAGAAGTGCGATTTTTACCAGGAAACCAACTATCTAGTATTAACTCTGCCCTTTCTTATACGAAATATGTTAAAATGTCCATCCAGAATTCAGCATTAAATGTGTCTCCAAATAGAGCAGTTTATGATCATGCTAGAAGACATTTAGCCACACATTAGCAGAGCTATATTTGAGCTTCTATAGGTTTGACCTAATCTGGATAATTTCAAACATGCGTGAAATTCTCGATTTTGAAGTTCATTATGTTCTGTGTCACACTCTCTTTCATGGGAATGTAAACAATGCGTTACCCTAGTGAACCTAGAACTACAGGAGGACTTACACAATGCTTGTGCCACATTTCTCACAGGTGTGCTGTTTGCTGACTCCTCCAACAGATGAGCTTTGTTTTGGGGCGTTGGGGGAAAGCTTCCCAGGGAACCGCAGGGCTGCCTCTGAAGACAAACAGACAGACAGGGTTGTTAAAAAGATGATGTGTCAATAAGTTTTCAGATTCAAATTTAAAGAAGAAATTTCTCCTGGTTAATAAAATTCACAGCTGAGGAAGTAATTCCTCTGTTTTTCTGAGATTTTCTAATCTGCTGTTGTGTTTCTTTCTCTTTGCCTTTTTTTTCTTTTTTTTTTTTTTTAACGATACCTAATTTATTAAACAACTTATTTTCTCTTCTTTAAATGTCTGAAACCAAAAAAAAAAAAAAAAAAAAAACTACACCTTTCTCATCAGCTTCCAGGACTTCTTGCAGCATTTTAAAGGTGTTTGACTGACGAGGTGCTGCACGGGACTCCTTGTTCTCCTGGATCATCTTGTACACCTCTGAGTCCCTGTCAAATCTTTGCATGGCGAAGTCAGAGCTGGAACTACTGCAGAGGGGGAAAAACAAAGCAACAGATCAAAGGTTATTACAGACTGGAGATAGGAGGGCAAACCAGTCTCTACTCAGGCATTAGATAACCAACAACAATTCTTTGGTTTTCAAGGTTGAAAGGAAGCTGCAACCACTAAACCATAGTGAGCATCAATAAAAAAAATAAATAAATAAAATTTGTTATACACAAGAAACCGAAAATATAAATTAGCACTATTTAAATTAAAAGTAAAAAAAAAAAAAAAAAAGAACTGCATGTCCCTGCCACAGGAGCTGTGCATTAAAAGCTGTATGTAAATGTGAGTTTTTGCTGAACCGGTCGGGCAGGATTTCTCCCTTTGGGCCAGGTGTGGTTTGGTGCCTTGTTGATGACATCGAGTCACTCAGAAACAGTCAACGAAACCTGACAGCCTGTCCAACCTGCTGCCACTTCCATCAAAATACCTAGAGGTAGCCATCAACACACACGTGTTGCGTGATGATTGTGTATCAGTTAAAACAGCTGCACTGGAATAAGGTATGAGAAGCTGCTCCCTTTGATATAAGCAGCAGAGAGTCAATGTGGACTGATTTTTGTGGCACAATATGTACATAACTTAAGCATGTTTTAACACACAAAGCTTTATCACAATATATAAATTCCTTATTTTATTTTATTTTTATATATCTTTAACAATACTGACCTGTAACTGGTCTTAAATTAGGGCTGAGCGGTTAATCGATTTATATTTGTTGTTTATGAAGATTTTACTTTTTGGAAAATCAACTATAGCACTCCTTTGGCTTTCAGAGCACAGAGAGACATCAGTTCATCACCTTTGTCCTTAGATGTTTACTCATTAACCAGCTGTGTATTGTCACTGGCTGCAGACATTCAGTGTTTTATAGTTATAGTGCTAAAGATGATTGTTTTACTACTTAAATTAAGGTGTCATCCCAAAGGAAGGAAATAAAACATAATTTAAAGGTATTGTGTGTCATTTTTAATTGTATTACAAAACCCTACCTTAAACTTGATATATATAATTTGATATATTTTGTATATAATTTCATAGGGTAATATAGCAAATACAAACCACCGGAAATCTGATAAGACAGTTAACTTGTGAATATTTTACCTTAAATATTATACCAATGTCAAACCTTTGATATCTTTGTTCATTAAATTTACAAAAAAAAAAATACTCTAACACTAAATGGAGATAAATTTTTTTTTGTATCTCAGCTTTAAATGTAATTGTTTTTTGGTTACAAATCTGGGGGGAAAAAACAGAATTTGAAGAGATTCAATAGTGACTTGTAATAAAATAGATAAAAAAAATAAAGTCTGAGGTTTTCTAAGCTCGACTTTAATCTCTGTTGGAAGTTTTTAGGCTGAACTGTTCCTCAGCCTTAGAAAGTTCACTGTTTAACATGGTTTCAACAGAAAACCAAACAAACATGCTTTAGGCCTTTCCTCTGCATCAATGAGCTGAGGTCCAGATTAAAAACAGACCTCTGAAGCTCGACATCCAAGTTTTCCACATGCAGAGCTCCACCCAAAGCTACCCACTTCCCTCTTTTCCTCTCACATTATTCCAACATGCAGTCATAAAACAGCTGAAACCAACAACTAAAGAAAGAATACCTTAAGAAGCAGTGAAAAACACTGACAGGTAGTGAAAACGTAAAGAGATGAGATACAGTATCAGAGCACGTGGATACTTCCTAAACACTCAGGGTTGAGCTAAATGTCACGTTGTTAACAGGCAGTTGAAAACACCACTAACATCTGACACAAAGCTGCAGCTGGCTGCGCACCCAGAGAAGCTATGATAACAATCTAGTCAAAGTAGGGACTCAACATGCATGTAGACAAAACACAGATCAAATAGCTAAATTCCAAACCACAAATCTGGACCCGATTTCCTGCTGATGCAAAAATGAAAAAGAAAAAAGAAAAGAAAAATCACACTTTGGTATTGAAGTAAAATCTACATGACAACTCAATGACTCACCTCAAAAATATAAAATAAATAAAATGAATAAATCCACAGAAAAAAGGCCTTTTATTTTCAAGTCAATTTCTGAAACAACTCAGAAAATGAGAGAAAACAAATACAAATATTAGCAGAGACCTCACTTTAAACCAGCTGAGACAGAAAAACAGGACTGTGAGTGAAAGGTGTGCCCTGGGCTGAAATTCATTGGCCACGCAGCATGAAGGGGCGTCACTGCTTCTTTGACTGGCTGCAGACAAGCAGGGAGAGGCTTATTGTGCTGGCTGGGGGCTACAGACAGGGGTCCGATCAGGGGGAGAAGTAATTGGTCTTTGTTGGTGAATATAAGGTTTTTGGATTGGAAGTATGGCTGCTGACATGACATAGAGCTAGCCTGGGTTAACCAGCAGGGAAAGAGGGCCAAAGCCAAACATCCTGGGCTGTGAAAACACAGGCACCAGCTTCTCCTGCAGGATAAAAAGGATTACAAAAAAAGCTAAAAGCAACATTTTTACTTCTGCTGAGACCAAATACATTCCACAGAGAGTTAAGAAAGAAAGATCTGCACACTGGAAAAATGAATCAGATTACAGCTTCATTAACTGTGAGGGTGCGGCTCTGAAACTCTGCAGAGCCTCAGAGTGAAACCGTACAGAGTTCCAAAAGACTGACAAGGTGCTCATATCCAGAGCTATCAGAGATGTGTGCAAAACTATTGTGTAGCTAAAATGATGTGTTGTCCAGACACATCAGGCCTGAGCCAAAATAATTTCCTGTCTATTTTCAATGGCTTGCCCACAGGTTACACGGAGCTTATTATGATCACACAAACATATCCCATAAGGCGAAACAACTACTCCCAGGTCATGATAAGACAACTTATCACACAATCTGATGCTGCCATAAAACTAGTTTCATTTTCTGTGTCACCAAGTAATGACAAACACTTCCAAAAAGGCAGTTGGCCCATAAACGGAGCACTTCGTACGATGCCTCGACTTTGCCTCGACATGCTCGTACGCTCTGTATTTTTGGGTATTCTGAATCGCAACTGTTTACAGGCCATCCTCAGACATTGACTGTTAAACTTTAGTTCCAAAAATCAAACCAAGGGTCCTCCTCAGACAAAAAAGGGGCAAATGCTGTTGTTTAGGTTTGAGCTTTTTCCTCTGTAATATGTAGGACACATTCATTCATGCTGTTACTACTTTATTGCATCATCATAGGTTAAGACTTTATGCTACAGTGGCTTGCAAAACATTCATATCACTAAAACTTTTCTACATTTTGTCACAATATGTGAAAAAAAGGTATACCGTTGTGAAGTAGAAATAAAACAAAATGTGGTTGAAACATTGTAAAAATTATTCAAAACAAAAATCTTAGAAGTATGTTGTGCTTAAGTATTTAGGCCCTTTTCTCTGAATGCAACCAAATACCTCTAGCAGTTGCCTAATGACTGCTATTGACTAAATAGACTTCACCTGTGTGTAATCTAATCTCAGTGCTAATCCAACTGCTCTGTAACAGCCTCAGAGGTGGGTTAAGGGAACAATGGGGAGCAAACAGCGTCATGAAGAGGTGGAGAAGTTTAAAGCAGACAGGCTGTAGAAAAATTCCCAGCTTTGAACATCTCATTAAACATTGTTCAATCCATCGTCTGGAAATGGAAAGATTATGGCACAGCTGTAAACGTACCAAGACAAGGCCGTCCACCTAAAGTAACAGGCTAAACAAGGAGAGCATTGATCCGAGATGCAGCCAAGAGGCCTATAATGAAAACAAAAGATTTGAGACTGGGGCAGAGGTTCACATTTCAGGGGGACAACAACCCTAAGCATAAAGCCGGGGTTACAATGGAACGATTAATTCATGTGTTAGAATGTCCCAGTCAAAGTAATGACCTAAACTCAGTCAAGAGTCTGTGGCAAGAGCTGAAATCTGTCTTCACAAACACTTCATCTAATCTAAATGGGCTTAAGCTGTTTTGCAAAGAATTAACAAAAATTTCTGTCATTAGATGTGCAAAAATAGGAGATGCATAAAGGACTTGCAGCTGTAATTGAAAAAAAAGTTATTTCCACAAAGTATTGACTCAGAGGGATGAATACTTTTGCACCATACCATTTTTAGAAAGTAAAAAAAAAAAAAAAAAAGAAATGGAAAAGGAAGTCATTTGCAATCATACATTAAATCCCTTCCCTTTAATACTAGAAAATGACAAGGAGCAAAGACAAACTTCTCATTTTTAATGGAGGACTGTTTTCACTTCTGTCCCTTTTCTAAAGCGAAACTGAATAAACCAAATTTCTTAACTGAGATTCCCCAGAATTCATTTAGAAAATTAGAAAACTGTTGTTGGTCACTAAATGGGGTCTAAATCACAATGTCAGGAGTGTTTACCTGCGGCGAGGAGACATGGGAACATCTCGATCAGTGGGGCTATGAGGTGAGTAGCGCTCTGGAGGGATTGGGGTCCTGCTGGACCCAGAGGGAAATGGAAAAGGAAGTCATTTGCAATCATACATTAAATATTTATATGTCACTTTAAGTTAGTCTTTGAGATAATATTCCAATAGAATAAATTTAGATTTTTGTTTGTAATGTGTAAAAGTTAAACTGGAATGATTAATGCAGCAAGCCGCTCTATTTCACTGATCAACAATAGTTTTTTTCCCAAGTTGGTTAATTCATATTAAAATTTTAACACTGCTTTTTAAATGTATAATTACTAGAATTTCTCCCCTTTACCAGCATCATTCTGTAGACCCTGCTTCTCTGAGGTTTAGCTCAAAACCATTCATGTTGTCTACAGTAATACGCCAAAACTGCTATTTCATCAACCATGATGCTATGAATCATTTTAATGACACATTGAGGCCATATAAAGGGACTTTCAGTTTAAGAACAAGAACCTCAGGGGTCCAAATGCTGATAATTCAAGGTAGTTTAAAAATGCTCACTAAATGGGGTCTAATTCACAATGTCAGGAGTGTTTACCTGCGGCGAGGAGACATGGGAACATCTCGATCAGTGGGGCTATGAGGTGAGTAGCGCTCTGGAGGGGTTGGGGTCCTGCTGGACCCAGAGGGTTGCCTGAAGTCTGAAGGAAAGAACTCCTAAAATAACAAAGAAAAAATACAATTATCAAAGGGAAAATAAGAAGTAGAGATTAAAGGCCTCAACATACCCTGGAAAAACAAAATACAGTTTTTCCTCCCAAGCAGAGAGAACTACTTTCTTCTTTGTTGTCGGACACATTTTAGGGGACTTGTCACAGCTTCGACATGTGCAATGTACTTTAACTTTACAGGGAAACAACATTTCCTATCCAGAAGTCAAACTAATTGAAATGTTCTTATGTAAGATCTTTAGAGTAACTTCAAAACCTGTTTTCTGAATCTGACAGAAAAGTCAAAACAACCTAAAAATAAAGTTAACATTATATACACAAAGATATTAACGGATATCCTAAATATTGCATTGAAAAACTAGAAAAGCACTCAGAGAGCACAGACCTCTGCCAAGGACTTACACCTGAAGCTAAAACTCACATTATCTGGATCATCAAGTTTAAATGATTGATCCTTGGCAGCTGTGATAAAAAGATTCATTAAAATCCATTCGTAACTTTTCAACTTTTCCTCTGGCCAGACAGAAATACACACACAAACTTTCCTTAAAGCAATAATCAATCGGTAACTATTGAGATCAAAATGATATAATTGAAAAATAAGGAGAGTATAACAGTTTAATATAGCAAATATAATCCATTATGTGTTTAATAACCTGACTTTCCAATAATAAATAACATCCATCTCTGCTGGCTGATCAGCATCAGCAGCCTCCATTCTTTCCAAATCACCTTTAATAGTAAATAATCTGCTTCATTTCATCACGCAATTTTAGCCACTCCAGATGTTCAGATATTCTGTGTTTGTTATATAAATGAGCTTTAAAGCCCTTTAATAGTTTTCAGTTACAAGTCAGAAAAGCGCATCATTAACATCAGAGTCACAGTAAGCAAATTTACATGTATGGTGTTATCCTACCAGAAGATGGCGCCACCAGCCAAATTAACACTCAACTAATGAATAACATAGCTGAACATATTTGAACAGATGTTTTAGCTGCTTGTGGAAAAAGATGCCAAATCAGGGAGAAAATTGTTGCATTAGGAGTAATGGCTAATATATTTAACTTATATCATATCTGTACAACAAGATCATATAAAAATAGCCTCAACTGCAAGTGTGTACAAACTCTGAACACTAGGACAAGATCTACACGGTACATACATCATTCAAGACACTTTTACTGTTAGGAATTCCACAAACATAAGGCTGTCGTCTAGTTCTAACCATGTCCACCTGTAAAGCCGACCACCTCCTGATCCCTAAAAACATGTTATTCACCTCAACAGGCAACATTTTTCAAATGAAAAATGTCTCCAAACTTCAACATCTGGTTCAACCCTCACCATATTTGTCAATAAAGCTAATAAAACACTAATAGAAACACAAGAAAGCATCTTGCACAATAAAGCTTAATGAAATCTCCCTTTTCAGTCATCAGCTGGCATCAGTGTTAAACAGGCTCCATCCAGGAGAAATAAATGACTCCACCCAACTGTTCAGGCAGTCTGAGCTGATGGTGGAAGCTGACAGAAACGCAGTGCCACGGATGAAGTAGAAGATTTGTGTTGCCTGTTCCAGCACCCGCTTTCAATTCAGCAGTTCTTTGAACAATAGCTCTGTTCTCAATTGGGTCCAATTTTCCTTCACTTTTTTTCTTTCCAGAGTGGGCAGATTAGGGGTGCATGCCAGGAAGCTTATACAAAAAAAAAAAAACGATCATTGGGATGGCTCCCTGAGAATTTCTTCCCTCAAAAAATCCAGTAATATGACTCAAGACTCAGAGGATCCATCAGACTCCACAAGTACTCATCTTTGTGCTCTCCTGCTGTGAAGCAATCTAAAGTCCATATACCTGACAGACACAGATGCTTAAGAAACATTTTTTCAGATAAACCAACTGAATCCCAACAGTATGTGCTTATAAATCCCAGCTAATGCAAAGAAGGTGCATCTTGCACAACTCACTGCAGATCCACAGCAACCTTATGGAAAAGAATGTCTTCTAGAATTCATGGGGTCAGCATTTTGAAGCCCGTCTCTAATGGTTTGGTCAGACATCCACGGCAGTTGTCCACTGGAGCTCATTGGGTTTTGGTAGTAGTCATACCATTCTTCGTTGTACAGAGGAGCAAATACTGGTCCTGCTGATTGATTAAAGATCTCCAATGACCAGCTCTCCTAGAATAATTGCCTGTGTCCTTGAATGTCATGCATGCTCTTGCAACATATTCTCACTCCCAACTTGTTACATATTGAGACTTGGTAGAAGTTCTCTGTGCATCAAATACTGATGCGGGGGGTACCCCACACATAAATGATAGGTTGCATACAGTGTATCACGTGACCCACAACAGCAACAAAAAAATGATGTTTAGCGTAAAAAGTTAATGTGGGAGCTTTAGAACATTTATACTACTGTTTCTTTATGGTAGGGTAAGGGATGGATTGGTGGTGTTTTTACTTCACAGCTCACGTACAAATGTTTGGAAGTTCCTGATACAGACTGTCATGAACGCCGTGTATCAGTTAGTGAGGAATTGACCAAGCGTCACTATATGATGAGTAGGGAGTGAGAATGAGTTTGTTCTTGGGTCTCTGCTGGGAGATAGAGCAAACCTTCATCCAATGACATATTGATGTTTCATGCTGGTGAAGTTTAACTGCTGTGCAACCTCTTAACACAACGGTTTAAGCTGCCAGTAGTAATACTGATTCTGGGCAAATGTAGATCTACCAAAAATCAGTGTGGCCTCCCATTCTTGTTTTGGGGCTTTGCATTATGGTTCCTGTAGTGTACCCATTTTAAACCCATCTGTCCATCCCACTTTTATCACACCCAAACAGCTGACACTTATTTCGTACCCTCTACTACTTCACAGACCAGATTGGTGATTAATTTCATATCTTTTTATATATAAAATTAACAAATAAAAAAAAATACTTCATGTAATTTTAAGCGTATTACTCACAGTTAACTTAAAAGCAACAATGCATTTGATAACTGTGGTCTTGGCAGTTGCAACAATGTCCACTCTTTTTATTCCCCAGCTAATGTAGGCCTGTTTTGTTTGTTTTTGTCTAGGATATCAACATGGCCATAGAAGGGAGGGCACAATGAAAACTATCAGCCAGTTTTCAGCGGTTCCTGTGGATGCCAAGAGGAGGAAGCTTTGATTAAAGCTGTTCAGAACTGTAATCAAAAGTTCATAGTCAACAAACCCAAGATCATTAGGGCAAGCCTTTGGTATGCTTCCCTGGCTTTAAGCAGCACATACCACTTACTGCTTGTTACTTTACAACATATAAGCTTTTAGCTACTGAGGAATAAGAGCAGATACAATAAAAACATGGCTGTTCTTTTATTATGTCTTTTAAAAACAGCATTACTAAAATAAAAGACATTATATAACTGTCTTATGTTTTTCATGGGAGAAGTAGGGTTTTTTTGCACAAATTATTCATAGACTGGTAACACTTTAGTGTCCAATGTAAATCTTGGCCAAATAACTTATTGCTACTTTGTGTTTTAAATCCCTGGCCTTTCTTTCCACAAATCCTGTCTTGGTGCAGAAAGACAGCTGCAGTAAAGATGCTCCCCATGTCTAATATTTATTTGAATAATCCTTTATTTAATTTATACTAAACCCAGATGTTGAAAAGAAACTACTACTACAAGATGTTTAAAAGAAACAAAATAGTTTCATTTAGAAGACTATTACAAGCTGGAATCTGGGCGTGTTTTAGTCCTCCAAGTCAATAAGGATGCCAGGTTATGCATTGCACGAAACTCAAAAGTTGCTTACATGCAAAACGAAGGAGCAAAACACTGAGGAAATGATAAACTAAAGTAAAAGGATGGCTGTCTGAGACCCATGGGAGACACTGGGTACAATGCCAGGAGATGAGACTTCAGTCTGGCTCCAAGCAAACCGCTTTGCATCATCATTACCACCCTGCAGATTCAATTACAGGGCATTGGCTGCAGCACATAGGAGTGATGCCTTGAGTAGCTTTTATTTTGGGAAGTCTGGTGCTGCTGTGAGAGGGTGCAATAAATGCTGATTCTGTATTTACCATAGACAGGAATCCAACATTACAATAGTGTTTTGGGCTCTCTTATAATCAGAGCAGTCTATGCGGCCCTGCTGTCACTGATGGACTGCACCATTGCTTGGTGCACATGGTGCATTGCTGCTACCAAACCTGGAGATAATTAAGACATTAACAAATGGCTGTTAGGTTCCATCATTTACACTCACCATTGTCATCCAACTTTTGCAGCTTTTTAGAAACTATAAAATATAGTGTCTGCTACAAGAGGAGTGAGTTAGAGTACACATGGACATATACATGTTTTCAACTGTTTCTATGCTCTAACTCTAAAATGTGCCCTTAATGTAACCATTAACAGTGGATACTTCACCCTAACCCAATTGATACCTCAGCCCTAAACCTGAACATTAAGAAAATACCTTGTGTGGATCAGCAAAAGGTCCTCACTTTACAACAACCAGTTCTCAATGTGATGGTGAAATCTGAAAAATGGTCCTCACTCTGATTTCTAGACAGATACTGTACACACACACACCCAAACCATCAGACCAATCTATCCAGCACATGCTATGCATACCAGTTTATTATTTTGCCCTTACACAAAACAAAATGTTCTGGTCTGATCAGGCTACACCCATCACACTTGCTGTAACAGTAGGAAAATGTTTCCTAATTCTAATTGCTTACCATCTAGAGCAGAGCTGTAAACCCTTTTTGTTAAGCCCAGAAAACCAACTGAGGCTTCATTACTGCATTAAACCAACAGTAACCATTTTTTTGGGATCAAGGTGGTATTGTAAAGGGAGAAAAATGCAAGATAGCAAAATGAAGATAATACTGCATAGGAAACAGTCCCAGGCAGCAGGCAAATGCTAGCATTGAACTTCACAGACTCAGATACTGTATGTTAGGGTGCAAAGATGGCTCAT